GTCATGATTTTATTTAAAAGTAATCTATAGTGAGACATAAATAAGTAAATCCGTTGAAAAAACATGAATATCTAACCGTTAGACGTACGCGCTAGTAATACTTTTAAAATAATATTAATCAATGAAATTTCCACAATTTTTTAGGTAAGCCCGATTCAAACCCGACCAGATGATTCAGGTCCGAACAAGCCCTGAACCGGAAAAATTGACAAAGATAAAAACAAAGTATAAAAATTGAATTTTTTTGGTGTCAAACTGCCAGTTTCAAAACCGGCCCAGACAAAAGGTCGGGACAATTCGCGTAAAAAAATTCAGGTCGATTCCTCCCCAATATGAGGAAAAAGTTAAAATAAATTTTAACTTAATTTCAATCTAAATATGTGATAACATAAAAAAACAACATTTTAGAAAAATAATTTATTTTTTTAAATAAACTCATAGAAAATAGTATTTTTGAATATATTATACTTTTGAAAGGTTAAGAATATATAATATTAATACCTATAACAAAAGTATTAAATATATTTGTAAAGTAAGTAAATTATTTCAAATAAATAAAATCAATTTAGCTTAAATGAATTGATTTTCTTATTAAAGTACTTTTACTAGATATTTTTATATTTACTAAAATACCTCCAGGTTGGGTTTCATGGACTCTGAACCGGCACAAATTTATGCTCGTGCCAGGTCCATGACCCGAATAATCGGGCCGGGTCCGTGCCGAGTCAGGGCCGAGTCGTCAATTTTTAAAGAAAAAAGTATAGAATAATATAAAAAAATAAAAAATAAAAAAGGGTCATCGGCCCGGACCCAGCACGGCCCGCCGGGCCAGGATCACGAAATAATGACCCTGAAATGGCCCGTCGAAAATTCAGTCTGGGTTCGAACCCGTGATCAATGGGTTTGACCGGGCCGGGTTAATGTCTTGATGTATCTGCCCTATATATAATACCCGAATGTGCTGAGCCTACGTGGCTGTTTTTGGTGCTTCAGAATCATACTTGGCGAACAATCATGCTTCATAATTAGGTTTGGACAAATAATATTGATATATTAATAATTAATAATCTAGATTCGGACATTTCATAAATATTATTTAGCAAACTAAGGTATTTTAATATCACTTGTACTAATATAACCCTTTAATTCTTTGTAATTTTTACATAGTGATGCACTAAGTGACTAATATATCCTTGAATTTTGATTTGTTTCCTTCAATTAGCTATTGAATTATAAATGTATTTTAAAAGTTGATAACTTTTGTATTTCTTATCAGTTTCACATATATAATATATCAAATTAATCATCTTTTCATGATCTTCGATTTGACATACAT